TATGGATGCTAACTTGGTGGAAAGATATCGGATGTTTTCTTCTTTGGATAGGATGTTATTTTGAATCATGTAATAGGCGCATAGGGAGAGGTATGTTACCTCAATGGGGTAGTTACCCCCACCGAAATCCTGAAATAGTCGTACGTGATTTTTTATCTTAGAATCATAGTTTTGATTGAAAACCAGATTGGATTGGCTGAACTGGAAATTGGTTCAGTGTCTGGTCTGGAGATGGTAGAAAATCAAAGGGCTTGAGAACCAGTCAAGAATTGGCCAAACTGGTCTTGAACCGCTGGTTGAACTGATCACTTTTTATTTTTATTTTTTCAAATTTCAGTCCATACTTCTAAATTACAATGCATGCACATGTACACCCCTAATAAGCATTGGAAAGGAAAGAAAAATGTGTTGTAAATATAATATTTTTACTCTAAAATGACAGAGTTTTGTTTATATATACATACACACACATTATATATGGATTCTAAAGACTTAAATGTTGGATCGTAAATAATTGTCAATGAATCTTTAGATTTTTAGTTTATACAATTAATTGTTTTTGTTGTCACAGAACTTTTCATCAAGTAAATATGATATGGGAGAGATTGTTACTAAAATGTAAATTTAATAAGGATTAGTTGCGCATGATTTAATATTTAGGGATTAACAAGAAGCCACATCAAAATATTTAAAGACCAAGGTGCATTAAGGTGATAAGATCATAAGCAAATGATTCAAAATTCAAAAAGTTTTATGTAATCTAGCCTAGGTTCTAATCTAAGTTAACGAGTATTAAGCCAAAAAAAGTCTAAATTAACAACCTAAGCAAAAGTAGCAGGCGTATCTTTTATATTTGCAGTGAGTTGTCATTTGGAAGGAAAAAAAAAAAAAAATCAAAGTCTCACATTTGCACTTTTGAATTACCAGTATGGGAAGTCTACAAGTATATAACACCCCATAGATCAATCTAGGAAGAATAGCAATGTTATTCTGCAATGTCCCAGCGATTTTGTGCACTCTGGCAACTTTTGCGATCATTAAATATAATTGAGATTTCTAGCAACATACAAATGATTAATGCATTTCCCAGTTCGGTTCTCCTTCCCCCGCTCCCAAATGAATTGAGTCATCTGTATCAATCTCGAGGTGAAGAAAACCAGAGGTTACTATCAACCTCGAGAGCACAGGTGCAGTTAAAAAGGAAAACAGAAAATAAATTGAATCAGACTATAATCCATCAGTTATCCCCCCTCGAGATATCTCATTCCTGCTTCAGTCAGATTGCACTGTTTCTGCAACTGGAGGTATGCAATCCACCTTATACCGGAGCACCTACGATCCATGTAATATGGATACACGTCAGAAAACCGTAGTGCTCTCAGTTATTCATGCATCAATTGAAAAAGCGAAAGAAAAAAAAACAAAAGAAAGGCCCTGTCAATGCATCACAAATCAATCACAGGAAAGTAAACAGAGAATTAGCCTAGTGGACAAAGGGTCTAATAAGACAAGGATTTTGTATAGGAGATTGCAGTGTCTTCCGATTCCCTTGTCCCATAAAATTCCGTTGGTAGGTGACAGCATGATTCCAATTGGAATAATAACACAATTCCCGCTTTCCATTCAATTTAATCAGTCAACAATTATTTACCTTCTTGAAAAAAGTGGAGTATGTATTGTCCCAAATCAGTTTATAGCTCCCAGCCTCTAATGTGCAGAAGTTACCCTAAAATTTTTTTCACAAATTCAAAGATAAGAAACTCTTCAAGAGCTTGATGAAACATAAAATCTGCAATAAACTTGCCAAACTCACTTGGTCAGAGTCATAACGCCGGTAAGGTAACATCAGCTGCATCATATCCAGTCAACCAGCATGAATATCAGAAATAAACACACAAATAGAGAATATGATGCGCAATACTAATTTCTGCAGTGCATAGAGCCTAAAGGATTGATGAGACAAGCTAACTGAAACTAACAGAGCAAATGCTTTTCATTAGCATTAAAGGTTCAACTACATGAAACTGACATTTCAATTAGAACCTAAATAAAAGAGAAACTTCTGAACTTGAATGCCAAGTGCGTATGCTTGATTTTCTGGTGCATATCCTGTAGGTATTTTCTGTACTTTTCTAACCAATCTATGACTGTGTAAAAAATTCATTTACTTATAAACCATTATGAAAATCCAAAAATCCCCTTGAAGTTCGAGTATTGCTTAGACAGTGGCCCTTGGTAATAAGATCAACTCTAATGGACTAAAAAATCTCAACAGTCCAATTATTTCTCCACGGCATGACATCCACTCTTACTTGGAATATAATGTCTAGTGCTTTGAAGGAAATATAGAAATCCCTTTTTCTTCCGTTCTTCTTCAGAAATACTTCTTTAACCCACCAAAAATAAAATGCTATCAGAAATTTAACAAAATAAGACTGAGATATTAATGCATAATGGCATTGCAACTTACAGTTTTTTCACCAGATGGACTAATAAACTCCAAACTAAACCCAATATCCTGACAAAAAACAACATAAAAGTCAATATCATAATGCAGGGAAAAATATACATTGACCTCTTCAAGAAAAGGTTGAGCAGAAATACCATATTTATCTTGCCTTGCACTAATGAAAAATCCCAAGCGATGTATGAGTTTACTGAGTCCACTGTGAGTAAAACCTAACCAAAGAACATCATCATAGAATTTTATACTATACATATATATAGCAGGACGTGAACTTCTGTTTGAGTGCACCAAAATAATTGGCAAGCTCTATTAAGTTAATCTTCATTATTGTTTTAAATTGTTTTCCTCATGTTTAAGGACCACCTGTCCTCCCATGATGTATTGGCTTCTCTTTCCATCAACAAATTCTTTGTTAGATGAAAAATGTCACCCGTTCACAATGGTCTATGATCATTTCAGAACAATATACTCTTTCCCACCGTTAACCATACCATGCAAACATAATTTACGCTTGAACTTGTCAAGAGTATTACACAGATACAAAAAGAAAATAAAAATAGGTTGCCCTCAATCAAAATTCATTCATACTTTTTGCAAGAACTATAATCATACCTCATAACTTTTTCCAGCAGGTACACTTATCTCCTTGTAGTCATCATTTTTCCTAAAATTTGACAACGTGACTTAAGAAATGCTAAATCAAAACTTTTATTCCAACAATAACAAGATAATATTCCAAAATTACCCTTCTAATGCCCCAGCAACTTCTGCAGAAATGAAGAAAGGTGCATTTGAAAAGACCTCACTGAACAAAATGAAATGTTAGTTGATACAAAATGAACTAAAAATTTAATGAGTAAAGGGAAGATATAAACATGTCCAAGGAGGCTAATTAATTTGGAAAATTCAAGCTAAAAGCTTAATTTGTTTGCTACAAGCAAATCGCATAAGTTGCAGAGCTGTCCCAAGAAGACTAAGTAACACTTCCACAGCTTTTAATTCCCGAATCAAAAGCTAATATTTGGGTGGTTGAATCTGGAGCTACAGATTCCACGACTAGTAATTATTTTGTTCAAAATTTTACTCCATGAAAAGGAATTTGCCAATGACAATTGTCAGAAGATTTGATTCTGAAAATGTCCCTCTTGTGCCTAATTGAACAGTAACTTATTATCAATTATGCGAACAACTTAAAAGCTTAATTGCGCCACTCACTCCTCTTCTAATTGCCACAAATTTTAGGACTTAAAAGCCGCTACTATATGGAAACCCACTATACCAAGATACCGATTGATACATAATAGGCAGCAACTAATTTTCATAAATTCTTCCTGCATATGATGTATGTACCTCCTGTAATATTATTAATAGTTTATTATAATTGACTACCATAGCATGAACAATATGAATAGAAGAGCATTACAGTACCTGAGAAACCTAATGAACCTTTCAAATTCTGCTGTGTAGACATCAACAGCTTGTTCCAAGACAGTAATTTGTTCCTTTTTCCTATCAGGTTACCCAGAAAAATTGAATAATAGAGGAATTACTATAGTCCGCCAAATTACATCTGCATTAAAGCCAAAATCAAACATACGGACAAAAGAACATGACAAAACTCCTAGCAGCCATTATAAAAGGTTAAACACCAAATATAGGGGCATCAATAATCTTCTTAGGTAAGTTTTACCTATAATAACTAAACAATAGGGAGAATACTCTGAAAAGCTTACATAAATAGGCTTATACAGAACAAGCTTTAAATAAGCTAACCTATAGAACATGTAATACAAGCAATGTGGGACCGAAGAACATCAAGGCCTAAAATTTACTCTCAACTCCAACACACCTTTTTTCATAGGAAATGGAGAATTTATTATGAAAAAAAGATTTTTAAATAAAAACAAAGACCAATCCTCAAAATTAATGAAGGAAACAGTTAAAATGACAATAATGCTCCATCTGTAATAGAATCAGACTAACAGCAGAATACCACATCCAACCTACGAGCTGAGACCAAAGAGAATAAACAATCAAGATGCATATTATCATCACTCAGTAGCCACTCATCACCGATTACAGCAGCCACTGTGCAGTTTGAACCTGTAGCTGGGGGTGCATGCATGGCTCAGCAAACTGGACAGGTCCACCTGGCCATCTCAGGCCCAGCCAACCAACTGGGCTGGCCCTCTGACCATGCATGGCTCAGTTAGGTTTTTTGGGAAAAATAAAGGGAAAACCAGGGCTATACAAACTTTTAGTTTTTTAAAAGAAAATTGTAATTTTACAGGGATTTATGAGATTTCAGAAATCTGACGGAACCTGATTCCAGAACCATGATTCAAGTATTAAAAATAAACCACAAAGTGCAAGTCTAATGGATTAAGCTACAGTTAGTGAAGAAAATGGATAAAATACATGAGAACACTATATACTCCAGTTGTTCAAGAGGACAGAATCTCCCATACAGTACTCACTGAATGCTTACCCTCTCCAAGCCCCATCAACCACAATTTATATCTCTCTCCCTCACTTCAAATGTTATGAAGCTTACAAAGTCTCCTGGCCCATTATTTAATATTTACAAGTTACAATAGAAACATTATATAATTTAACTGGACTGACTGCAGGCTACAAGACTTTCGAGCTTCAAAAGTAACAGTAGCTTAATGAAACCAACCATAAACTTTGATATTTGGTAGTGGAAATTAAGAATAAGACTTCACAAACTACCAAAAATGCATGTTATCTCACAATTTATTAGTCCCAAGCCGCTCCCATGATAATGAAAGGAATAGTCGAATAACAAGAATCATCATCGTGAGGCTGTATAATGGCGGTCCATAGCGATGTCGTTGCTCTTCCATGGGTCTGACAGTTAAAAGAGCTTGCATTATTGTTTTTTTCAAACATTATCATGTTCAGATATCAAGCCAAAGAAATTCTATTAAAAAATGAAAACAGTGACGTCATACCCATCATCATCATTTATCTGCCGAATAAAATCAAGCAATACCTGCAACTCAAACAGAAAATAAAAAATTTAAAAAGAAAAGATGAATCATTACATAAATTAATGAGGGGAAAATTGAAGGAAAAAAATCCAACAATTATCCAAATGCATCCAGAGGCATACTTGTGGAACTCCAACCAGATACTTCACGAGTGTTTTATAGACACCTGTCGCAGAACCAAGCTGAGCTAACTGCCGTCTCCTGCAAACCATAGATAGCTAAACATATTATTATGTAACAGTTATACACAACAGGGCAGACAAGAGACATGGGCCTAACCTGTCCATTTGTTGTCTCCACAGCAACGCATATCGATCCCGTATACTTCCTCCAGCATTCACTAGAGCGTCAACCTCAGCTTGCTTATTCCTTTCAGACCGTTCACGTTGCTGTCTGAGGAGAGTTCCTCGAAAATCTTGAGGCAAATATGTCATAACTGCAAATAATTTTTAGTTTCTTAAACTCAGACTTAGGAAGTTAACAGAGGAATTATCAAAGACACACTGTCAGGCAGTTAATTATGCAGCTTGGAAAAAAAATCAGTAGCATCAAGTTCCTTCACTTATGACTGTTTGAAAATCCAATACCGTACAGCAAATGAAATCTCGCAGGCCTTCAGCATATAGGACACCTTTGCATTCTTTAAACAGCAACCTTGCCCTTACTTAAAATATTCTATGACAATAGTTTCTTATAGCATATTATGATTCATTCTATGGAATGCCAAAAGTTCTGCTGGATTCTCCACTATGAAAAAACAATAAAAAAGAACCAGAGCAAGGCAATTTTATGCACCAAAGAAAGATAACTCAAATGGCTACAACAGCAAATTAGATGCGTAAAATTCTTGCACGTAACATTTTTTGAATAATATTACAATGAACATGTCCTATAATCTGAGAAACATATGAACAATAAACTGAAAACATGAAGTAATGTGGAAATACTAGGAGAGAAAATGTAGTTAGAAAGCTAGCAGGGTCTGAATGTATAAACCAAGGATCACATGAGGGTTAATTTGACATCTCTGAATTCTCATTGTTTGCATCCTTGAGTTACCAATATTGAGTAATATAAATGGTAAATAAAAGAATCAGCACATGTAACCAAAAAAGAAAAATTCAACTGACACTACACTTCGTGAACTCATTAAACAACATCAGTTTCTCTACAATAAATCTGGCAAATGTTAGTTAATATTGGAATCGTCTCATAAGATCTTGGGTGGATGGCACTTTTTGTAGGTTTGGACTTTCAAGTGCAAGACAGTACGTCACGTATGCATGTTTTTAAAATCCCATAATCGGAAGTTTATAATCAGAGTCAGCTTATTTATTTCCCATTTTATTTCCTTTTTTATGTGATTGTAAGCAGAACTTAATGGGGTCCTTTGTTATGCACTCGTTTCTCTGTTTTATTGTATTATTGTTGTCATATATTTGTCATCTGATCTGGCCATTTAGTGTGGATAGGCAGCAGTTTTATTTTTTTATTTTTTTTTAACAAAAAAGGGGGAAATCTTTTTAGAACCTAGGATTTGGCTGCATAAATGTTCACCTTATTTCAAGGCTGAATGACAGATTTGTTACCATATGCTTCCTAACATAAATTCATTTCCCACCATTAATAAAATAATGAATTTTCAGGGTCATTACTTACTTAAATTGTTCACGTATAACTAAGATCATGCATGGATACGTGATATAACATGATGTTAGGCCCAAAGTTGTAAGTTGATGGACTTTCTTGACCTTATATGACTAGCTGCTTTTGTGGTAAGTGAATTTACTGCTCCAGTCTAGTTAAAATTGAAGTTCTTCATCGATTATCATAACTATACTATTAATAATCTGGGACATTAAACGTTGATACCTTCAATGATAGTTTGAAAAAAAGCTTAGACTGACAAGATATATCAAGCTTTAAGTATACAAATTTACTAATAACTAATTTTTAAGAAAGTTAATATGTATATAGACAAGAAATCCCTCAACTGGACTTCAATACAAGGGCAAATCATTCGATTGAGCTTGTGAAAATTATCTGTACCAGGTAAATTAGCTCCAGGAATGAGCTTGTGAATAACAGAACAAAATGATAAAAGCCCTAACAAAAGGACCTAATCTATCAATAACAGCTGACCAATCTCATCAAACACAACACCAAAGCGAAGCCAACAGTACAACTCTGTTCGATGAAAAATGTAAAGGATAAGATACGCCCTTACAGATGTGTCCATTGCAGACAAACCATAACCTACAAACTAACTATTGTCACAAAATCCCATGAGCATCATGCTGACTTGGACAGGCAGCCACAAAATGGCCCTGGATAAGGTACATATTGCTGAAAATGGCTCTGATACACTAAAAGGTAATAACAAGCTAGTTTGAGGGGCATCGGAAAAGTACTTGGATAATTGCAAACCACGAAGGGAAAGGAATGAAAAGGCAAGACCTGAACTACCAAATGATCCACAATGAAAAGCAGAGCTGTGAAAAGCATTACTAAAATCTTAGAAACCTCAATAATTGGAATGCCCACGAGCTAGAATTCCTCTTAGTACATTGAGAGTCCATTTCTCTCAATCCAGATAGAAGAATCGGGAAACTTTGACTCTTTTGGTGTTTACTCTTGTGAATCTTTCTTTCAATTTCTATCTCATCCAATTATAGAAAAGTTAGTTATAGATAAACCCATAAGGAGTTCCTTTTTTTTTTTTTTTTCCCACCTCCTTGCTTTTAAGTTTATAAAGCCCATCTGGTTAGTTTATGCCCTCAATTATCGGAAGGCTGTCTATTGATAGGGTGCAGAGTTTGGAAGGAAAAAATAATCTAAAAGTACTGCACCATCGCACACTACATGCTGTCATAAGGTGCATGTAGTGTGGGACAAAAACTTAGATTTTTAGGGATGTTTCATTAGCGCTAATGTAGGGAAAGGAGTATTCATGTCATTAATGTGGTGTTCTGCCCATGGCCTTTTTTTTTTTTTTTTTTTGGAAGGGTTATAATCTTTGATTGGCAAAGACTATTCCGCATTATTTTGCACTTTTGACTAAAGTTCTTTTCTACATCAGCATAGAAATGACACAAGCTAATATATAAGCAAGCATAAATTAACTTGTTCACATCCAATAATAATTGAAACACAAGCAATTATAAGTTCGTTATCTATTGAAAGTAATTAGATCAAGTCAAAGGCAAGAAGGTACCTGTGTTGAAAACATGGTCAGCATTTTTAGCTTGGAAAGACTGCAATAGCTTCAGATTGTTATGAACTTTGTCTTTAAGCCGGTCAAGTACTATAGTAAATTCTACATCGTCAGGTGTTGACTGCTGCTTAAGCTGAATTCACAGCATAAAAGCTATCTAAGAATGGGTGCCATTTTTTCAGTTCTAGACAAACTTGGGAGGAGGGAAAAAACTTATACCAAGCAGGATGTTAAAATTATGGCTATTCTGTTGAAGGAAAACTCAAAAATGAATTCACTTTGTTTTACGAGTTAAAAAATTCACCTTAACAAAATTGAGTTGAACGGGAGGGAAAGAAATATAAATAAGAGATTACCCCTTCTGGCCAATTGGACCCTTGTAATAAAAAGACTGTCTCTTCCATACACTCTCGATTCTTCCACATATTCTCGTCGATTTTATGCGGAGGTTGATGGTCAGCTTCATCTATTAAAATTCTTTCTCCTGGAATGACATCAACTCCCAAAATTATTTATGTAAAAAAAATAAAATACCTACACAAGGGCACAAAAGATTTGAAAACAAAGATGCCCATACAACATATATTTACCTTGATAGTCATGCAGGGTTGTAAATTTTCGGCATCTTGGACGCGACATACAGATGCAATGCAATATATGAGAATGATTGGTGTGATCTAAAAGATAGTCAGGATTCATATATGACGCCTATGCAAGGTTACACAAGATAATCTTACATACTCAAGAGCAAATCTATTATCTAGGATATATTTAGATACCCAATATATCTGAATATTGTGCATTTCAATGTATGCCCGAGAATGCAGAGATCTTAGATTCGATCACTCTATGCAAGCACCAAAATTCAATCTATCTCCCATTTCGTGCTCTTAGGATAATAAGCACTTTCTTTGAAGGCAGTAAGATGCCGAGGTCAACAGCTAAACCCACTGAAAAAAAAATCTCAACTTCCTGGCACAAATTCAAACTCATGCGCCATCGGAGAAACTCCCAGCTGCGAGCTCAGCAGCTTCGCAGGCGAGAGCAGAGAGGGTAAAAATTACAAGAAACATAAAAAAAGATTGCGTGAGAAAAATGAAACCTTCAGTAGGAGGATAATCATTGAGCAAATCATTGGCCATAGAACGAATTTCCGAAGTAAGACGAGACACATCATCGGAGAGAGGCTCAAAAGGGTACTTGTCATAGTAAGACGCCAGGAAACTCCTGGTTATAGGTACTAGACCCTCCGTAGAAGCCATCGGATGGTATGATCAAATCAACCTTCCTTCAGACTTCGGTCTCTCTCTTTCTCCTTCTCGTCCTCCTTGGGTCTGAAAACTTTCAGAGACACGGTTTTGAGTGCTTTATTCTTTGGGCATATTCTTTCATACAAAAAGAAAGTAGTAGCGTATAACAGTGGAAGATTAGACGAGTTACTACATGACGACCCCCACCGACTTCTCCGTTACATTTACCATCTAAAACTCTTTTTGTGTTAAATTAATGGACTAATGGGCTAAAATTGCTTGAAGATATTTTCGAGAGTTCTAAATCCAATCCAAGTAGTTAGTATTCTTTGTACTGATATAACCTGATACTATCTCTAATTTTTAATATAATATTTTATTTAATTTTTTTATTTTAAATATAAGAACTGAATTTTTTTTGTCTCTCATGTTTATATATCTTTTCTCAAATAATCCTTTTAATAATAATAGTTTTAAACAATATATTTGATTAATAAAAATATTTTAGAAAAGACAATACATATTTGTTACAAATAAGTAATTTAATTTATTTTTTTAATTTGACTACTCCATTACATTTACTATCTTTCACTCTTTTTGTATTAAATTAATGGACTAATGGGCTAAAATTGCCTAAGAGATCTTCGAAAGTTATAAGTCCAAGCAGTCGGTGTCCTTTGTTTTTTTACTGGCATAACCTGATACTACTTTCGATTCTTAATATAAGATCTCGTTTGATTTTTATTTTGATTTTAAATATAAGATTCTAACTCACTTTGTCTCTCATATTTATGTATTTTTTTAAATAATCCTTCTAATAATAATAGTTTTAACCAATACACTTGATTAGTGAAAATATTTTAGAAAAGATAATACCTATTTATTACAAATAACTAACTTAACTTATTTTCTTAATTTTCTCAAATTAGTTGACTACTCCATTACATTTACTATCTTTCACTCTTTTTGTATTAAATTAATGGACTAATGGGCTAAAATTGCTTTAAGTGATTTTCGAAAGTTCTATATCCAAGCAGTTAGTGTTCTTTGTTTTTTTTACTGGTATAACCTAATACTACCTTCGATCTTTAATATAAAATCTTGTTTGATTTTTATTTTGATCATAAATATAAGACCCAAATTCATTTTGTCTCTCATATTTATATCTTTTTTCCAAATAGTTCTTCTAATAATAGTTTTAGCCATTATACTTAATTAGTGAAGATATTTTAGGAAATGCAACATCTATTTATTACAAATAACTAACTTAACTTATTTCCTTAATATTCTCAAATTAGTCAATTAGCTCTTATAATTAGAACAAGAGATAGTACTAAATATGGGTACTTTTCAAAATATTTGATTCATTATCTTATAAGGGACTAATCTTTCTTACTAAACTCAATTCCGTCTATTCTCCACATGGGATCTTTGAAATGACTGAAACCATAAAATGTAAAATTTATAATAATATTTGACATTAATATTTCTGTATAAAACATAGAAAAATCATATTATAATCTCTTCCATCATAAATATAGAACTTAGGAAACTAATTTGTAAAACAAAAAAAAAGGTCTGTGTTAATATTGTTAAAATGCAATTTCTAGTTTTTTGGCATTGGAAACTGGATCCTTGATAATCACCGTAGTGAACATGACAGGTTCAGGAAAAAAATTTAAAATTCATGAAATAAGATATATTAAGGTGTTATATTTATAATCAGAGTAAATTCATTTACTACCTCTTATATTTGGAATTGAAGATTGTATAAATTATAAATATTATGCAGCCATAAAATCTACACTTTGATTTGTACAATCTGTAAATCATGAGTGGGATCCTTCAAATTTTTTATAACGCGCGAAAAAAATACAAGCAATGTAAGTGGCTGTTGATTTAAATGAATGAGTTACGGAAAAGTGTGGAGATATATCCATAAGTCAAGATATTTAGTGACTAAGATATTTGGACTTAATTTTTTTTTTCTTTGGTGACTCTTTTTTGCTAATTAGATGAAGTTTAATTTACTGGAGAAAACAATGGTGAATAAAAACTCCAATACAAATAAAATGACTGCAAATCTTGACATGCAAACAAAAACAAACAATTGTGTTGCAGTTTTAAAAACTTACAATAGTAAAAAAAAAAATCTTTATTTATTTGACTTTTTGAGAAATGCTGCCTATGTATTTAGGTTGATTGGATTTATGATCAGGTTGAATCGGCTATTATAAGTTTGTTGATTATGCCATTCACGCTAATTGTAAAAGTTGGTTTTTAGATAATTAAGCACTTCCTTCAATTTTAAATGTATAAACTAAATAATTAATTTAAAAGATTAAAAAAATGAGTTTAGCCATTTATCTGTAGTAAAGACAGTATTATGTTTTTAAACTCCCCTTCAATTGTTTGCGTTGAAAATTATCTTTGATAAAAACCTTATTTAGCATGTGCAATTAATGGAGTTGTTTGAAAAAATGATTATAAATTTATGAGACAAAATAAATTAAACTATTATATTTAAAATAAAAACAAATTTATCAGCTAAGTTGGAGATGATATCTTGCTCTTTTCATACTTAATGTGTTTTTTTTAATTGAAATAATTTAACGCTTGAAATAAGATGGGTTAAGGTGAATCTAGCATCCTAAATAGTTTGTGATGTATTCAGTATCCTGAAATATTTTTTAAATGTATCCAACATCCTAAGATATTATTTTTATAACGGTGTTGGATGTATAAAATAGTATTTTTATGTGCTAAACATATTAATAAATATTTTGGGACACCGGATATATTAAAAAATATTTTAAGTTGCTGAAAACATTTAAAAAAATATTTTATAGTGTTAAATGTACTTGAAAAATATCCTGCACCTTAAAAGATTAAAAATTTTCCTTTTTAAAGCACATAAGAGAACTTTCTTGCACATGCAAGAAAAAGGTAGAAAAAATAAGGCCCACCCAGAAAACGTAAAAGACAGCATAAGTGCCAAGCCAAATTGGGAAATCAGAGGGTAATTCCTTCCATATATTTTTATGGCAAGAAGAAGAAGAAAACAGCCTTTCCAGGGAACGTGACAATGAACTTTTCATAAATTTATTGTCACTAACGCATTTAATCAAGACACACCAATCGCTTTCACAAGTGTTATTTCCTTTTCTTGTGTTATTATATTGTTAGTAATGTCACATTCCTCATACTATATACTTAAAGTTCGTTCAAAAAATATTTTCTATTTTTATCATTCATGGGTAAATTTAATTCTATATTTATTTTGATTCTCCATTTTATATTTTTCGGTGCAAAAGACATGAGAAATATTTAGATGCGCTAGAAGTGTCATATCATTTGAATTCTATCCAATGAAAACACAACCACTCATTTTAAAAGGTTTATTTTTCTTAAAAATAAAATTAAATTGTAAATGAGTTATCGGCCAACTAGGATGAACATGTTCTTAATTGTTGTATTTTCATTAAACAATGTTTAGACAATATGGCACTCTTAATTGTTTAGTATATATGTGGGACATAGATTTGACTAATCCCATGTAACAAGCAATCTCTTATGCTAAATACTTTTTTGATAAATTTTTTTAATACCAATCACTATTCTTATTTCTAATTTTTAATGCTTCCTATCGAACAGAATCTAGAGTATGCAAATATTTCTATAAAAGATATTAAAAATTTTGATTCTTGCTATTCCTTAATAAGCTTCACAAAAGCATTTTTCATATCACGATCAAAGCATTTTCAACATGATTTCTAAGCAATCAAATTAACTCAACTTATTTAGTTTACCCAATGTCATGGGATGTTTTAACTTTTAAATTCCATCAAAAGATCTTCAAAAAATGAACGTAAAAGAATACTACCTCCTGCTCTAATTATAAGAGCTATTTGAATAATTTGAGAAAATTAAAAAATAAGTTAAGTTAATTATTTGCAATAAATAGATGTTGTCTTTCCTAAAATATCTTTACTAATCAAGTTTATTGGTTAGAACTACTATTGTTAGAGGAATTAACTTGAAAAAAAATACATAGAGACAAAGTGGATTGAAATATTATAATTAGGATCAAAATAAAAATCAAACAAAATCTTATATTAAATATTCAAGTAGTAATTTTGTTATGTTGCCATTTGCCAACAAGGTTCATTCTGTGGTCAAATCTGTGGCCAACTTTTCGTTTTTGTTGACAGTTGTGTCCTTTTTTTTTTTTTTTTAACCAAAAGACAGTTGTGTCCTTTACTTAGGGCCTGTTTGGATGCTCTGAAACCGTGGTTTCAGAAGCACTTTTCCGCAAAACGAGGTAACCTCTTCCACATATTTACTTCGTAATCCGTAAAAGCACTTCTGAAACTATGGTTTTGTTTTTATCCAAACACTCCCTTAGCTGATGTGCATGTATGCTCCTTTTAAGTCTTAATGATATAGCTAACATTGCAACATTTCTATAACCATAAATCAAACATTACACTACAAATGTTTAGTCATGTAAATAGCTCTTTTAAGAATAGTTGAGGGGTGAAAATGCCCTTTAATACAATTTTTTGCTGACTTAATGTAATGTTAAGATTAATCCAATTTTACCCCTAATTTAATGACTTATAATTAATGACTAATTGTAATGGCTTGATTACATCAGATAATTTTTTTTGGCAAAAAATAATTATATAATGTGATTTTTTGTTTTTATTTTCTTAATTAAAAAATGCATATATTTTTTAAAATTATATCTCACTTTTTTTTACCAAAAAAATTATATCTCACTTTCAAATGTCACACTTATAGGCATTTGAAAATTAACTTTTAAAAGTAATTTTATGATATTTAAAATTAAAAAAATAAAGCTTGACGGCCCTATTTAAATACTTAAGAATGTTTTCATGCAGAATCTCATACAGTGATTTTTAATTTTATAAAATTATTTTTAAAAAGTTAATCTAAAAGTCCCTATCACCATTTCACTTTCACTCCATGTTGCCGAAAGGGCATTATGTTCCCCCGAATAAAAGGAAAAAAAACAGAGAGAGAACCAAAAGAATCTCAACCCTAGTAGGTCCCTGGCTAGGCGGGAATGGAAAAGGATGATTATTCTCCAGACTGAAAGGGAATTCTGGAAATCGAAATTATCGAATCATGATCTGTAAGGTATCACTTTCGGTAATTTTCTGGAGCTAACTTTATTCTTTGATATATAGGATATAGAAATTACTTTACCTTCGTTGGTGCTGCTGCGAAAGAGGGACCGACGATGGGTGTTGAACCGGAAGAGAAGCGCTTGGCTGCGAAGATCTTAGCGTCGTGCTTGATCGGAGGCGTATTGGTGGGAGTGTCACTGTATGGGTTGTACTCAGGCGGAGTATTGCCGCCGCAGAATCTTTTGCCTCTGGAAGGATGGAAGAGGAGGAGGAAAAAACCTATTCGTGTCTACATGGATGGTTGTTTTGATATGATGCATTATGGCCATTGTAACGCCTTGCGTCAAGCTCGTGCCCTCGGTGACCAGTTGGTTGTTGGTGTTGTCAGCGACGCCGAAATTATCGCTAACAAAGGTCCTCCTGTGACTCCTCTGAATGAGAGGTTTGTTGTCCTTCCTACTCATAATTTGCTTGTTCCTGCCATTTTCGGTAGGAGGTGTACCGATTACAGAAGCAATCGTACTTCTATTCAATCGAAACTCTTTATTGCCTAATTTCACTCCGACTTATAATCTTTGACGGGTCTGTTAGCTGGATATTTATAACTTATGACAGGGCTAACAATTTATCTAACTTCTATTGACTGTCATGAAATAATTTTCTATATCTGACAATTTGTATAACTGGATTTGTAGCTTGCTTTGATATTGCCTGGCAAATTTATGTTAATTATTTTTATAAACTTGCTTAAACTGCTATGCTTGTGGGGATCCAGCATTTCCTGGAAGGAATCTTTGATGTTTGATGTCTTTCATCTTATTCTCAATCTGCGCTTATTTGGAGCAACTTACTTCATTTGTTGTTGAAAATTTGTATGGTTTATCAACAGTTTCCTAACAGGTAGAAATATGTACGCTGTTGTAGGTTAACTATGGTTAATGCTGTTAAATGGGTTGACGAGGTTATTACTGAGGCACCTTATGCTATAACTGAAGAATTCATGAAAAAGCTTTTTGATGAATACAAGATAGATTACATTATCCATGGAGACGATCCTTGTGTCCTGCCTGATGGAACTGATGCTTACGCCGTTGCAAAAAAGGCTGGTCGATATAAACAAATAAAGCGCACGGAAGGAGTCTCAAGTACAGATATAGTTGGTAAGAGTTATGGTTATTCGTTGCCTCTGTTGATCTGATATCACTGAAATACCGTGGAGGCTATGCAATTGGTATGTGGTTGTAATTTGAGGGTCAATCTTTTATCTATGTACTGACTGAAATTTTATGTGGAGAGAGGATCAACTTCATCAGCATTCCAACTGAAGAATTGTAGTGAAGTTGAATCATAGATCAGTATGTCGTGAAAACTGAAAAGAAAAATTTAAAATTGAAAAAGTAAATTGCTAAATGGCAAGGAAATAAAACCCGTCTCAGTGAGATGAACGTGATATTTTGATATTATCTTTCCAATGGAATTGATCTCAGGTCTACGGAGTACAAGACTATCTACTTTAAAATCAGAGAAGTACTTGGTTATCATAAAATATGAAATAATTGAGTGACCCCAATACATTGCCCAAAGGGCATAAAATTTATATGCGACTTCCACAATAATACTGCCTCATCTTCAATAAGTGATAATTTAGTTGACAAAAATGATCATTTTGGTATTAATACTAGATTTCAGAGGGAAAGAAAAGAACAAAGCCATTTCTTTGCTCCGTTTTCAATCCAATTTAGAGCATTGGATAGTGTTCCTTCTTGGATTTTCTTATTTGTTAGAATTCTAGTATGTTACAATTTCCAATTTCCAATTTTAGCAAAAGGTGAAATTTCTAATGGAGAAAAGGACTCTCAACTTATCGCTGCGTTGAATTATCTCTTGCATTTTGCATTGAAATTGTAGTTTTTTGGCCCAAAATTGGGAATTAAACTGAAGCCTGCGGCACACCTCATTATTTCTTTCTGGTTTTGCACATAGTTTGGTTCAATGTTGGCTGGTTGTGAAACATATCATCAAGCTTTTGTTTCTTTATATTTTTCGTTTCGAGTATTTGACTTTTTTCCAATCAAAATTTTGTTTGGCTATTGTTCATAATACTACATTGATACGCATTTAGCGGTAATTCAACAATTTTTTGTGCAGGTCGAATGCTTCTCTGCGTGAGAGAAAGGTCTGTTAGTGATAGTCATAATCACTCTTCTTTACAAAGACAGTTCAGCCATGGTCATAGCCATAAGGTGGAAGATGGTGCATCTGCGAGTGCAACTCGTATATCTCATTTTCTTCCCACATCTCGCAGAATTGTCCAGTTCTCAAATGGAAGGGTATGTTTATGTACATGCTCTTACTCAAGTTTTTCATCAATTTGCTTATTTCTTCCCACATCTGGCTGTTTTCAAATGATGTCCTGTCCCTCCCTTCCTTTCCAAATTCTCATTTAACAACATTTATGGGAAAAAACAGCATGCTTGGCACATCTGCTACTCCTGATTTAGCTTGCTCTCGTGCCTCTTGTTCCAGGGTCCAGGTCCTAATGCTCGCATCATTTATATGGATGGTGCTTTTGATCTCTTCCACGCTGGACATGTGGAGGTATGCTGCTATGCATGCAGTCTTGCATTTTTCATACTCAATTGCCTTCTTTACTTTCTTGACTGCTGTTATTTGGCATGTTGCTGGACTTCATAGTGATGAGAATATTGCGTTGGCAGTGCTAATTTCTTAGCACTTTGAAGTTCAACGTATTAAATTATATAATAAGGCACTGTAGTTGATAAATAAAATTAACAAGGTGGGTATGGTAATCGGTGCCAGGTCAGTAACCCCAAATCAGGTTTAGTTTGACTGAAGATGTGGGTTACTGGCTGAAGAGAGGTTTCATGAATAGCAGGACATTCTGTACTTCTACTTGTCATTCTGTAGTTAATAAATATTTGAAATTTGGGATATTTGGTTTTAGGTAAAATTTCTTACATTTGGACATTTTTCATTGTGCAAATGAATCGTTATGGAAAATTTCTCGTCTTGAGATTTATCTTTCATCGATGCCTTTTACTTATTATCTCTTATTAGAGCAGATTTCGTTGACAATTCTCCCCCTTGATAGTATAATTACTTTTATATATGTGGACATGAAATTCTGATCTAGCAATAGTGCAAAGAAATTATACCTTTTGATTATTGGCTTTCATGTTGCTCAGATCTTGAGGCTTGCTCGGAAGCTTGGGGACTTTCTTCTTGTTGGAATTCACACTGATCAGACTGTCAGGTTATTTAAACTCTTTATTTCCCGACTGCTTGTTATTTTATATTGTGCTTCTTATTTGATTAATTTTTACTCTTTTAGGCAGTTTAAATCATTGTATTGCTACCCTTTTATACGACTAATTTTATCCTCCAGAAATTCTTACACTATTACAGTCACCCTAGGCACAAATTCTTCCACTTGAACACAGCAGAGATTGTAAATTCTGATATACATAAAGTCCTGATGCAAACTTCCGTTTGTTATAAAAAAGTACCAAGATAATGTGGTCTTTTTGGATCTTGCATGGCAATTAGTCAGTGTTTGTCAAGATGGTATCTCCATGCTATGGGATTGGCAAGCTTTGCTTTTATTTTTAATCTTTCTCAATTAGTGCATCTTTTCCTTTGATTGTTGTTTTTTTTTCCTCCCTCTCTTTGCTCATTGACTCTAACCAGATGTTTTGTGCTTGTGCGCCGTGTCACTATTTCTATATGCTTTTTCAAGTTGTCTTATTATCTCCCAAAACAAGGGAGGAAAAACTCTACGGATGTTAAATTATCATAAATAGGAATTAGGATTTTACCCTATTGTATAGCACATCCTTGGTTAAACATTATGGATGTCAGATGAAAGTCATGTTTCTTTCTAGTCCTTTTCAGCATTCATCATGTCACCTTGTGCACTTTCTCCTCATTCTGACAAATAATCAGTTAAGACATTCATGCGGGCAGTTCGTTGGATAATTTTAAGACTGTTGGAATGGATCTTAGCCTCTTCCTAAGGATATTCTTGTTAGTTCAGAGGTGTTAACTTTTCTCTACAATTTGTGGATGATGCACCTCTTTTACTGGATATGAAACATCATGAACTCCATAGTAATGCTGTTCTTCTTTTTTCTTCAAGACTAATTTATTCACAACCATCTTAGCAGCTTTTGCTTTGGATAGACATTCTCTCATATTCCTGTTTTCTCTGTTAGCTGACAGACTCTTCAGCAGCCTTTATAATTTAGAAGTTCCTTTGGAAAGTAACCAGGGGATATTTCTTTTTTGAGACCCTCTTGTTTAAAAGACTTCTAAGAGGTTGCGTACCTTGTAGATTGAAGCCTTTTATCTTTGGAAAGGCTGTATTGCTCCTACTTGTGTCCAGCATTGTAGTTTATCTCTTTCTAATCACACACTATGTTCCATATGCTGAAGAAGATAATCACACACTGTATGTTCCAGCATTGTAGTTTATCTCTTTCTAATCACACACTGTATGTTCCATATGCTGAAGAAGATAATGGAGGATGTCCTTGGTTTGATGTTGTTGAGTTGAGATTGAATCTTATTGGCTGGGGGGATTTGTTTTAGACCTTAAAGGTGAAAAGAAAACTTCATATTCAAAAACACTGCATCATTGGAGACTACTTTATGGCATTAGGTCATCCAAATTTTTTCCCTGAATAGATGGCAATCTGGCATTCAAAAACGTCAGTCATTTACCTCCTTGGTGACTTATCCCAGGACCTTGTTTGTTTAAAGTGACTTCTCGTCGCTCAAAACATGTATGCACATTAGACTTGTCATAAGTAAAGCTTCTATTAATGTACGTGTTTCCATTATGCTTGGGATTGTTAATGTTAGACAATTTTGACATATTTTGCTAATGGCTTTATAGTGCAACTAGAGGAGCACATCGTCCAATCATGAATCTGCACGAGAGAAGTCTAAGCGTTTTAGCATGCCGCTACGTGGATGAGGTTATAATTGGAGCACCATGGGAGATTTCAAAGGATATGGTTAGTTCTTAAATTCAGCAGTTCACTTATTTTGGAATCTTTCTTTGTTCATATGGGTAATGTTGTTTTGATCAATGATCATTTAATAGAGGGAATAATTGAATTGGTCTATCTGTTATGAATCTATTTAGAAGTATTAAACTTTAAACTGAATGACAACCAGTACATGACATCTTTCTTTTTCCATGTTTTGAGTTTTGAGCCATTGTTAGGTTATTTTAAATGCTAGAGAAAATAAGTGTGGGAGGAGAGCTTGAGGGAACTAGAATCCTTCCATTCTTTCATAACATATCCCTTTTCATGAGATGAAACTAGCACGTGAATTAGCTTATTTTATGTTTGTTTGTCAGTAGACATGTTTGTCAGCACAGCTGCAAAACATGTCTTCTAAATGCTGCGTTGGTTAAGGTGTCTTGCTAGGTTCAGTGGCAAAGATGTAGCTGCTATTTAGCTAATATGTTTGAAGAGATCTTTAGTTTAATATGAAGTGTTGATGCTTTTCTTTTTATAATATTTTAATTTTGATGCTTTTCTGTTTATAATATTTTAAAAAGTTGTAGTTAAGTACTTACGCATGCATCCATTGGTGTGATGTACTGATAGTTGAATTTCTGTTGAGTGCAGATCACTACATTTAACATCTCATTAGTCGTCCATGGTACCGTAGCAGAAAATAACGATTTTCAGAAGGCAAGTTTGCATAACTTATACCAAATTCTGATATATGTACAGTTATCTCTACTTATGTTACCGATGAAGGTAAAATTTCATGGAAAAATACTCTTATTTTACTGTGAATAATCTGAATTACAAAGGGCAAGAACCAAAAAATAAATAGTTACCAGAGCAAGAAGATAGCACGCAGGCCATGCTCCAGATAAGGGAAGAAAGAAGAAAATAAAACACAATAATTTGGGTAATAAAAGCGTAACTATAAACTAAAGGTGAGAAAGTGAAACAAAGAAAAAGAAGAAGTATCTGTTGCAAGAAATCTGGGGATTAAAAGAGGATTTGGGTCAGTAATTATTCATGCCAGATCTGGAATGTTTTCCAGATCCGGTCACCCTTAATTATTTAACCAAATCAGTCTCCGATCCTTATAGATTTCAGCGCTGGTGCCCACAGAAGGCACTAACCTGCTTTTGTTAGATATAGAACCACACTATTTAGGCGGCTACTGACATTGGTTTTCATACAGGAAAATAGCAATCCATATGCTGTTCCCATCAGCATGGGCATATTCCAAATCCTAGACAGTCCTCTAGATATCACAACAACTACAATAATTAGAAGGATTGTAGCAAATCATGAGGCTTACCAGGTAATTATCTTTTTCCATGCGTTTTGCATTCAAGTGTATTATTTTTTTATGCTATTCTGTTACTTAGGTTCTGCTCATGGTGCGCATCTCTCTCTGCCTTTGTGATACCGTTGGTCCCTTTTTTGTGTGCGCTTCTTTTTCTTGAATTGAACTTTTGCAAAGATGGGATTTGAACTTGAGATCCTACAAAATTTTGAGCCTTGCAAGCTACCAAGCTGCTTTGCACCACGATATGGAGGTGACTTTAGAATTACTAAAGAAAGAAGGATTTAATGGATCCTTTTATCATGCATGCACTAATAGGAACCCATGTATTCAAAATGATGGCGGAAAACCTATTGCAGTTGATTATCATAGAAGAATATAGAAAAATGGAGAGAAATTTTCATTCATAACAACTTGATTTTGGTGCTTTGTACAACTAACATGGATAAACTATTTCAGGAAGCATCTGTCCAGATTACTCCTTATCTCAATAACTAGCACCTAGTCACATGTTTAAAAACGAAGATGAAGATGTTAGATGCACTTTTACAGTGATGATTGTAACTTTCCATTAATTTTCCATCGATCTTGGGTATTTCTTCCCTTTTTTTTTGGAGGGGGGGTGACGGATCAAATAATCTTTTTATTCTAATTTTTGCCTCTTCTCCCTCTAATTTTTGTTGGAATCTCAGTGATTTTCAGTTTATTCATGTCCTATTGCCCCTTATTTACCTCACAGGATCTCAACGCCATAGTGTTTTTTTTTTATCAGTATATCATGTTTTTGTTATGTAGTGTTACCCCATGTCACGGGCTTACAATTTTCGTTCTAGTATCATTGTCATTAATGTTTTCCATTATGCATGCAGAAACGCAATGAAAAGAAGGGAGAGAGTGAGAAGAGATACTACGAGGATAAGTCATACGTGTCTGGTGACTGATTTTATGGATCGTTCATCTGCTGTGAAGGATACATGTTTTTGGTTTTTCTGTCTCTCTTTTCTCTCTTAACCATATATTTAGGACTTCTTGCAGTTAGATTACACTTAGTTGTCGCCCAAATGATTATGTGGTCTTTACAAATCAGAACCTTAGGGTTATTTAATTACTTTTGTTTTGGCTATAATGTTATTCCTGTATTGCTTGTTTTAGACTATGATGTGATTATTGTATTACTGTAAGGGGAGAACATGATTAGGAAATTTTGTTTAGGTACTTATACTCTTTCTTTTTTTCGTGTTTCCTTTTTCCCACCTTGGAGGAACCATAATTGATCTTTTTGGACTAACAAGGTTGGTGCTTGTGAAAATGTGCACAAATTTCAGATATTCATGAATCCCTCCCCGCGCAACGTGGAAGATTTTAGGACGTTAAGTTAACACTATGCATGTTTCTTTGCGTAATGAATGAAGTCCCAAAAAAAAAAAAAAACTTAGCTGAATCATTAATGATTTATGAATAGTAATAGTATGGTTGGTTATGTATCTCATTATATGTTAACATATTGATATATTATATTTTTTGATCTTATAATATTATAGTTGACGTATTACTTTATATGTTTTCATAGCGTTGTATGAGATATTTCAGAAAATACTTCTAAAAATATATTATAAAACGTATTCATGTATTAAATATTTAAATTAAATGGTTTTCCCCACAATTTACATGGGTTAAGAGAATAAACACAAAACGTTGGCAAAAAAAAAAAAGGTTAAGATGTATTTAATATTCTGTGCTAATAAAACGTTCATAACTTTCGACATAAATCAGAAATCTTATTGCAGTAAAATCAGAAGGCACAGAGGATCACTCACTATCATTACAAGAGCTTTTATGGAGAAGCAGAAATTACAAAGGTAAGATCATTCTTTGGCTATGCTTAAGAGCTTCCTTTCTTTGGATGCAAAATTTTGGGTTGTTAGTGCATCAAGAACTGCAATCATTAACTGTGAGCTGCATGTAAAAATGCTTCATCAGGATTCCACTCAAGTCTCCTCCTTCTGCTGATTCAGTTTGGAAGGAGATCTCCCCCCCCCCCCCCTCTAATCTTAAGAGTTATAAATTTAGAGTAGTTTTTCTTCCTTTATTTTTAAAATCTTCTTATGAAACTCATGTTTTATCGTTTGGGACTTTGTAATCCTTTTAATTTTAATATCATTTTGTCCTTTTACTTGAAAAAAAAATGAACAAGTATTTATAGAGTCAAGGGAAATAAAATAAATAAGAGCCATGAACCGAAATGGACATGAATTAGCATTAATCAAATATTTCAACTCACTCCTACTGCAGGGAACCAAAAAAAATCAGACTTGGCATGAATGAACCGCTACCTCCAAAACATTTTCATGTTTTCCCTACAGGGGAAAAGAGAAAGAGGTTCAGTTGTTCCAGCAAATATGATACTCAAGGGCTTATCTCATGTTTTGACTTGTTAAAGATCAAATGAGCATATAAAACTTAAAAGGAAAAAAAATTAACCAATACAAGATCAACCAATTACCATGGATTAGTCATGCGCAGAAGAATCATGGAGTGTAAGAATACAGTTGGCAAGCGGCTGATATAAATTTGAGTTCATCACCGAACCATTTAAAAAGATTGACCTCCAGGACAAACTGAAATTTCAACCGTAAAAAATACAAACAGTAAGCTCTAGCAATATCTACCTACGGGAAAATTCTCAAAACAATATCAAATTGTAATTTATTTGCCTCAACCTACAGAGCTTAGTTTAGTTTTCTTTGCCTCAAACAACCCTTCTACTCCAAAACTGCTACTCCTGCAGCAGCTTTAATTTTTTCTATCATGTCATTTGCCTCTTCTTTAGTGACCCCTAATTGTTTGAGCACACCGGGTACTTTTTCAATATTTGGCCTCTTTCAAACCCAGGTTGGTAAATGTTCTGACCTCCTTAATCACCTTGATCTTTGCTGCAGTATCAAACTTAACCAACTTGACGTCAAATGCTGTTTTTTCTGTTTTTCTCTCCTCACCCTTCAGTCCAGCCCCACCACCTTGTGGAGCCAAGTCCATGCCTTCTGTTGAAATTGGCTGCAACTTCGGGAGCCTTGGTCTCTCTGCCAAAGTAGGCATCATCTGACGGCGTGCTTTATCAAGCAGTGCCGCAATTCGCTCTGCAAGCTGAAGAGCTTTCTCCGGGGGAGTAGGTCTGGGGCCATATGGATCATAAAATTGATGAATTTTGTACTTTTTTCGCCTGGCCTTTGGATCTCTGGGTACAAAATCAGGTTGGAATGCACGACAATTCCCAACTGCGTATGTACAGGGCCAAGTGCAGCGACGAGGAAGCAATCTGGAAATTACAGTAAACCTCATGTTTTCGTTCAATCAAGATTGTGACTCGGAATCAAAATGCAGGGGAAAGTTTCTCTCCCGACACAATATTTGCTTCACCCCCGTCAAAGTTCAAAATCACTCTCTTTAACAAACACTTGAGAAGCAACGAGATCATATGGTAAAGCACAAGTCATGAGTTACATGATAATTCATACAAGTGCAGATGCTCATATCATATCAACATTCTACCCAAATATTTTCATAGAGAAGAGGAAAGTATCATCAGAGTGCATCAGAAGATAGCTGGAAATGATAACCCATAAAATATCACGTCTCTTACTCATAATCTAATTGATCAAAATTGTTAAAGTCACAAGCATAATACCCAATACGACATTCTGAGATGATAAAATTGTCAAAAAATTACATGGAACACCGACATTCCCACGAGGGGAGGGGGTGGGGTGAAAGTCCCACTTCCAAGTACACATAACAATACATGTCTTGTCCAATTCATTTGGAAGAATGGTGAATACTTTTAACCATGATCCATCATCTTCATTTAAACCAGCCACTGTTCAGATGCCTTTAGATGAGAACCAATGAAACTAAACACTGTAATTCGAATTAATGGCTGCTTCTTTCAGTAATTGAACAATACCAATGCTGCAAAAGATCTTCAATTTTCAATATACACCCATATGTACTCATTCATTCAGTACCAAGAACCCAAAATTGTGATTCAAATAAAAAACCCTGCTTGAATTCTTTTTACCACAAGGAATCAATGCATAGACAAATATAGATAAAAGTTCAATAAATGGAGTTAATGGCCACCCAAAAAAAAGAGTCGAAAAGGGCCAGATAAAAAATTAAAGTTAACATTGTTATTACAAAAAGCACTTGCAGGATAAATTTGTGACTGCATTGGACATTTGATATCCGGAACAAAAGAAGAAGTTACATTTCTAAGCTCTGAATGGCCTCTCTTTTTAATTACAGAAGCAATTCAAGGTTACAAGTAATGTTCTAACTTTGTGAAGGGTAGCATCATAACTTTGTAACAGCTGGCAATTCATAAGTTCATGTTGTTCAAAAACTTCAAATGGGAGAGGACATCATCACACGTAGTAAGGAGTTATTGCCTAACGAGCATAATGTCCTCCAGAACGTCCATGTATTTTATCATACACTTGATAAATTAAATTCAACATACAAGACCTTCCCATTATAACGGGCCGTTCAAAAGGATCCCCTATTGTTCCATAAAAGAAAACACTGCTTTTCCTCTCGACTCGAGTCTAAATATCCATGGATTTGTTATTCTCTGTTTGCTTATTGGCCTTAGGTAATTCAGAAGACACTAGTTTTATCTAACCTCATGTTCATATCTCTTTTTGAAAGATACTATTCGATAATGTCTATCTAGCATAATCCCCTGCTGACACTAGTGAGCATTCAAAATACAAGGTTCGTACGGAAGTATATGGAAGCATAAACAGATCATACCAAGTCTTTACTTGTATGGCCCACAAGAGAGCGACGCCGACGATATCTGATCCGAAGCGATGACTCCGATAAGTCCCTTCTGAATGAAAAGCCAATGGAGCGTGACGTGAGGCCGATAGGTTTTTTTTTTTTTTTTTGGGGGGGGGGGGAAGAAGGGGAAGATTCAGAGGAAGAAGGTAGGCTTAGGGTGCCGGCACACTGAAACGCACCGCATCGGGATTTTATTTTGGGTAGAATTTCTATTCATGTCTCTTTATATATATATATGTGTGTGTGTGTGTGTATATGTTGTTAAGAAAGGGAAATTTTTAGGTTAAAATGACATTTAAGATTAAAAAAAAAATAAAAGTAAGTTTCAAAGATCTTTATTAAAAGATAATTATAAATTCAATTTGATTTTAAATTGATTTTTTTATTTTGCACAATATCTTTTTTTAATAATTTTTTAATAAAATTAGAAATTTTTATATTTACATATTATACAAATATTATATAACTATTTAAAATTATTATCCTAGTCATTAATTTGATATTTTTAGTGTTTATTAGGTGGCTATGTGAGAGTTCTCAAGTTTGGATAAATATTATACAACACCAGGCGTAGTATATCAATCATATTTAATTATTAATTTAGCAACCTTTAAAAAAAAAAAACAAAAAACTTTGGCATCCTCAGCTCTTTTTTCCCCAGCTTTTTTAGGGCCAGCGAGATCTCCACTTTCTTTGCACCAAGGTTTATGGTAGGAATGGACTGAAATGTGAATAATGGATTACTGGTTAAAAAATAAGTTTACAGTACAGAAAATAATGGAATGTATTTGTCGGATTCCCAAGCCATAGTTATTTTTCATACAATTATTATGGATCCATTGGAATGCATGGGCCTTCCATCCTTTTAAAATACCAGATCCTGGACATTCCAACAATGTTTTATACAATGTTCAAAATACCCTTCTTCTATTTTCCAATTTCCCTTTTCATTTTCGTGAAAAAGAATTTGTATGAAGGTCCTTAAAATTGACAAAATTATATTGTTGTGCTTGGAAGCCTGATGAACCAAAGCAGTCACATGCAAATCAAATGAAATAAAGTGGAAAATTCATTATGTAAAACTATTTAGTTATTTCACAACAGAATAATTAAAGTCATTTGCTCCCTTGTGTGAATTATTAGATTTTATTTATAAGATTTTCATTTCATCATGAAATTTAAATCATCCGAAATACTTTCGAGAGATAAGTTAGAAATGGATAAAATAAAATAATGAGTATCATTGCTGCTTATATACAGGGCTAAGGCTTACCTTTTTTGTCTTAACGTATTTTAATTTCTTCATAAAGCATTTGTGTTCTCATCATTCATCGCTTCCTTATTCATTGTCACAGGTATGTTAGTTAGAGTTCCTAGGCAAAAATTAAACCAATATTATGATTTTTGTGAATGTGAAAAAGTCAAAGGGCTAATCCCTACCTATGTTATGATTTTTGTTTCCATTCCATG